TTACCACAATAATAACGTAGTTACTGTAACGCGTTACTTAATAACGCGTTAGTCCCAACACTGCTGATGAGTCAAGATCTGCACAAATTGACAGAAACACTGAAGTAGCTACCCATTTTGTACCATTGCCCGTACCCAATCATCTCCCTGGATACGGGCAATAGCCTAAAATGTTGCATAATTTTGCTGAGAGATCTTTTACTTTGTGGTAATCTTAGATGAGTAGTTTTTTGGACAAAAACCACCAGGTCATTAAGTGTTCCCTTGGTGCTAATGTGTCAGAGATGTTGGTGTACTATAACTGAAGTAATGTTGTTAAGTCCTTAAAGTCATGTTCTTTTATTGTCATGACTGTATTTGAAGCTATTTTTTATTTTTGTATGATACATGATTGATATGGACTATGGCTGAAGCCATAGTAAAGCCTAAAATACTTTAGTCAGTCATTTGTTTAATAGTAAATTAACATTATATAATTCACATATAAAACTATGAATTTTTATTCTAAATGGTTTAAAAGCATGCAGAATAGCATATCCAGACAAGTATATTTCTCTTTTTTTTTTTATCAAGAAGCAAAGACAAAAAGGAAAAAAAAAAAGGAAACAGGGCAGGGTTCGATGGTTGAATCATCCGTTCCCACCAATGCCAAAACCAAATCTACGCCCTTGGATTCAGGGTTACCTGATCCAGCCCTAACTATAGGTCTGAAGCCTAATTGTAAAAGTACATAGAGTGCAGCATTTTGTTTCAGAACATTTGTCTCATAAAGATTGTAATTTACAAGCCAATACCAAAAGAGTTCAAGGTTCAAGGTTCTTTATTATTTGTCACATGCATAGTTATACAAGTATAACACACAGTGAAATGTAGAGTGGTCACGTCCCTGCTCTTGATCAATAACGCATACACAACACCATGAGTTACAAACATCCATGACGACAATCGTCACGTTTTAATTTTAAATTTTTTACTTTTCCTTTGATTGAAATATTTACAGTTACTATTTTTACAATCAAAACAGATGTCGGTCACATAAAATTACACAGCTCAAATATTTTCACACCTTAATTATTTTCTTGTATTTTATGATAATCTGGATTTAATCTTTTGCAGCTAAAGCAGATTATCACTGGGTAATGCATCCCATCTTTTTCATTACTAAAGCGGCTGCCAGCACAGCGCCCCCTGCTGTCACGACAGCACATCCACCTTTAATACAAGTCATAAAGCTCTGATTGAATGAGTTGTTTCTCTCCGCCTGTTTTTTTGCTTCTTCTGGCTTCATCTTTGGATTTTCTCTCAGAAGTCGCCTTATTTCTTTTTCTATGGCTTTCTGGGCCTCCGTGAAGAGTTCACTGGTGTAGTATCTTCCTTCATTTTTCTGAACCATTGCATTGATCTTCTTCAGCAGCTTAGAGACTTGAGTTGAGGCTTCATCTCTGTTGTCAATAACATGATATCCTCCATGGCATTGATGAATGAAGTCTTTAATTGGTTGATTTCTACTTATTAATTCTTCCATGGTGACTCCTTCAGCCTTCAGCTGATCTCCATGTGTGAACAGGACCATGGTGTAATCTCGTGCTGCTTCTCCAAATGTCTCCTTGATGACTTCCAGAGACTTTTGGTCTTCCTCTGTGAATCTTGTTGCTTGCACCACAACCAGGAACACATGAGGACCAGGAGCAGCAAAGGAGATGGATTTAAGAACCTCTTCAACCACACTGTCGTATGGTCTTTTGGTGTCAGACAGACCTGGAGTATCAACTATAGCCAGTTTCTGACCATCAAACTGAGCTGTTTCCTTCTGACATACTGATGTCACCGAGGACAAAGACAGACGGGATTTAAACAGGTTTTCCCCTAAGATGGTGTTTCCTAATGCACTCTTGCCAATTCCAGTTTTGCCAGTGACCACGATCCTCAGCACATCTGGTTTCTCTGAGTCTGTTGGGGAGAAACACAGAGCTCAAAGCTTTACACTTAACTAAACTGTCCTATCTCGACATCAGTGGGAGTTTGCTCCTGCTGGACTTTTAACTCACATAAAAAAATAAATAAAATATAATTTTGCTTAAAAAAGCTGAAGGCCGAAAACTAAACAAGAAATTACAGCAATATGAAAATAGAAATATTCTCCAAAGACCAAAGAGTGTGTGATTTAAGAGGAATAGTTTTGCCTGTAGCAGATTAGAAAAGGATTATTCGACTTCTCTCATGATTTCAACTAATAATCACTCCCTGATTGGTGAGTGAATGCTAACAATAAAATGTGAGTCTGTTTGCTGTTTGCTTTGAGTGCTACAATAAACAATTATGGACTCATTACACTGGCCAACAAGTTTGGTTTGATTTAGAGATAAATCTAGTCAAACAGAAGACCCTTATGAAAATTTCAGTTTACCCTGCCCAGGATAGGGTTACCGGAGCCCCGCCCTGGAGCCAGGCCCGGGGAGGGTGCCCGAGGATGAGTGTCTGGTGGCCGGGCCTTAGTCCAAGTGGCCCGGCCGGGCACAGCCTGAAAAGGGGACATGGGCCCATCCTCCTGCAGGCCCACCACCCGCAGGAGGCACCATAGGGGTCGGGTGCATTGTGAGACCTGGACGGGCGTGATTGGGATCAACGGCCTCCCTGATATGAACCCGAGTGTGTTTTGTTATTAGACTTCTGTGCAACCACAGTTTGGCCATAACGAACACCCTGTTCGAATATAAGAGTGTCCATAAGTGCATGTGGCACCAGGACGTGCCACTAGGTCGTAGGTCGATGATCGATTTTGTAATCGTATCAGCAGACCTGCGACCATATGTTCTGGACACTCGGGTAAAGAGAGGGGCTGAGTTGTCAACTGATCACCACCTGGTGGTGAGTTGGATCAGGTTGCGGGGGAGGACGCTGGACAGACCCGGCGTGCCTAAATGTATAGTGAGGGTGGGAATGCCTAGCAGCGGTCCCAGTCCGCGAGATCATCAAAGCACACCCTCGGCATAGCTTCAACAGCATCCGGAGGGAAACTGGGGTCATTGAGTCCGAGTGGTACATGTTCAGCATCTCCATTGCTGAAGCTTCTGCAATGAGCTGCGGCTGCAAGATGGTTGGTGCCTGTCGTGGTGGTAACCCCCAAACCAAATGGTGGACACCAGAGGGGAAGGGAGCCCCCAGGCTGAAGAAGGAGTCCTATCGGGCTTTGTTAGCCTGTGGGACTTTGGAGGCAGCAGATAGGTACCGACAGGCCAAGCAGAATGTGGCTCGGGCAATGGCTGAAGCAAAAACTTGGGTGGGGGAGGAGTTCGAAGCAGCCACGGAAAAAGACTTTTGGACTGCCTCCAAGAGATTCTGGCAAACCGTCAGGCGACTCAGGAGGGGAAATCAGTGCTCTACCTTTGCTGTGTGTAGTGCTGCTGACGTTGACTGAGAAAAATTTGGGGCGGTCGAAGGAAAACATCAAGGATCTTAATCCCACTGACACTTCTCTCGAGGAGGAAGCAGACACTGGGGATGAGGGGGATGACTCGCCAATTTCCGGGGGTGAGGTCACTGAGGCAGTTAAACAACTTCTTGGTTGCAGAGCCCCTGATGTGGATGAGGTCCGCCCCAAGTTCCTAAAGGCTCTGGATGTTGTAGGGCTGTCCTGGCTGACATGCCTCTACAATGTTGTGTGGAGATCAGGGGCGATACCCCTGGACTGGCAGACCGGGGTGGTGGTCCCCATTTTTAAGAAGGGGGACCGGAGGGTGTGTTCCAACTACAGGGGGATCACACTGCTCAGCCTCCCTGGGAAAGTCTATGCCAGGGTGCTGGAAAGAAGAGTCAGTCCATTAGTCGAACCTTGGCTATAGGAGGACCAATGCGGGTTTCGTCCTGGTCGCGGAACACTGGACTAGCTCTTTATCCTCTCAAGGATACTTGAGGGTGCATGGGAGTTTGCCCAACCAGTCTACATGTGTTTTGGTGACTTGGGGAAGGAAATCGACTGTGTCCCTTGGAGTGTCCGGTGGGAGGTGCTGCGGGAGTATGGGGTGTCTGGCCCATTGCTACTGACCATTCGATCCCTATACAACTGTTGCAAGAGCTTGGTTTGCATAGCCGGCAATAAGTCTGACTCATTCCCAGTGGGTGATGTACTCTGCCAGGGCTGCCCTTTGTCACCGATTCTATTCATAACTTTTATGGATAGGATTTCTAGGTGCTGCCAAGTGGTGGAGGGCTTTCACTTCGGTGGCCTCAGAATCTCATCTTTGCTTTTCGTGGATGATGTGGTTCTGTTGGCTTCATTAGGTGATGGCCTCCAGCTCCCACTGAAACAGTTTGCAACCAAGTGTGAAGCAGCGGGAATGAGGATCAGCACCTCCAAATCTGAGGGCATGGTTCTCAGCTGGAAAAGGGTGGAGTGCCCACTCCGGGTCTGGAATGAGTTCCTGCCCCAAGTGGAGGAGTTTTAAGTATCTCAGGTTCTTGTTCGCAAGTGATGGGAGAAGGGAGCCGGAGATCGACAGACGGATTGGGGCTGCGGCTGCAGTGATGCAGACACTGCACCTGTCCATCGTGGTGAAGAGAGAGCTGAGCGTAAAAGTGAAGCTCTCAATTTAATGGTTGATCTACGTCCCTACCCTCACCTATGGTCATGAGCTGTGGGTAGTGATCAAAAGAACGAGATTGCGGGTATAAGCGGCAGAAATGAACTTCCTCCAAATGGTGGCTGGCCTCTCCCTTAGAGTGAGAAGTTCAGCCATCTGGGAGAGGCTCAGAGTAGAGCCGCTGCTCCTCCACATCAAAAGGAGCCAGTTGAGGTGGTTCAGGATGCCTCCTGGGCGCCTCCTGAGTGAGGTCTTCTAGGCATGTGCCACCGGGAGGAGGCCCCGCGACAGACCCAGCACACGCTGGAGAGATTATATCTCTCGGCTGTCTTTGCCTCAGAAGTTCCAAACTACCCTCACTATATGTTTAGGTGTGGCTGGTCTCTCCAGAATCCTTGCCATCACCTGATCCAACTCACCAGCATGTGGTGATCAGTTGACAGCTCAGCACCTCTCTTCATCTGAGTGTCTAGAACATACGGCCACAGATCTGATGATACGATTACAAAATTGATCAACGACCTCTGACCTAGGGTTTCCTTAGTGCCATGCGCACTTATGGATACTCTTATTGTCAAACATGCTGTTCGTTTGTTAGAAGTTCGGTAGAAGTTCAGTAACAGAAAACTACTTGAGTAAAGATCTGTCCTTTTGTTCCTCCCAATAACGCCTCTCCAGGTCTCACTGTCATTGCCCATATGAGCGTTGAAGTCTCCTAGTATGACACCATAGTCCCCAAGTGGGGCACCCCCAACCACCCCACACAGGGACTCCAAGAAGACTGTAAGTGCGTCGATCCAAAGGCGCAGGGAAAAAAAAACCTCTTGCTGTCATAGCAGGGTACACTGGTGTGTTTGTAAAACGAACCCAAAAGCAGACACTACAGAGAGGAACTGCAGTTCTAAACAAAAAGCGAGACATTTATTATAGGCTGGTTGAACATGGATACAGAATAAAGCAAAGGCAACAGTGTGTAACTAAACTAAACTAAACTAAAACCTTTAGGAAAACAAAACAATGAATCATGAAGAACGAGATACCAGACATGACATGGTGGGAGGGAAAACAGACGATCTGACACTGAACAAAAGAAGACAGAGGACGCACAGGAGGTGATCAAGGGAAGTAGAAACACATGGGGAAACAGCTGACGCAAATAAACACAACGACATCACAGGAAAAGAGTAAAACTAAACACATTGAACAAAGTACGAAAAGACTTTCAAAATAAAACAGAAAACATGGAGAGATGTAGACATGACAAGACAGGCTTGACAACATGAAAAGAGCAGAAAACAAATACACGAGACTAACACCCACGACCTAGCTGAAACACTCTAAACTCAAGACAAACAAATAATAATCCTATAACTCAACATTATCACAAAATATACCATGAGAACTCAAAACAAATTCAGAACACTGGGACACAGACATAGCCCCTGAAACCCATCCACTGAGGAAAAACTCCAATGTGTAGGCAGCTGTCTGAAGGGATAGCAGCATACCAAGCATACCATATTGCCAAAACCCTGATAAATATTACTTGTAGGATATTTTAACGATCTTAAAAAGCATGCAACCTTACTTTCCTGCTACTACAAACTCAGTATCATAGAAGAGGTCAAAGATCAAATGAGGATTTAAATTTTATGGACTTTCAGTTCCTAAAACATTAATTTCATGATAGGAATAGAAACAATTTGAAAATTAGCACTTTTCCCATTTGGGCTTTTTTTTTATTTTTAACAAAATTCAGGTCAAAATTTATTTTAGTCATTTTTGGTTTCAATTAAGAACTTTTGATCTTAGATCTGACCTCTGACCCTTGCATCAGTTTCACTTTCACACATATAGTTAGTAAAGTTTGACTGAATGTATTCCAGAAAGATTCTGGCTGCAAGCCATGTTATTTGCTCAAAAACAAGGAAGAGACATGTTGAATAATCTATCTTTATCTAACACCTACATACAGTGTGATTTGTGACGAGCAACAATCCCAGTAATGATAATTCAAGCTTGAGGCCTGATGCAGCAGAGGATTGGCCTGTTTGTCATTTACATTTGGCGTTGTTTGTTACATAATGCTGGTTTCTGGTTCCTACTAGGTGGTACTATTGATTGATTGGTAATTTATTTCAACATGTGAACAATATACAAGTACATTTAGAAAAGAAATAAGAGAGAAAAAAAATACAATACAAATTACATACAAAAAACCATTCTGATTAATTTACATGTTGAAAGGAAGTGGGAAGAAGTATACACTTATTTAATCCCACCCCTTTGCCATAAATTATCAGTGAATATTTAGTCAGCTTCCTTACTGACTAAATGGGCAGGGATAGCTCAGTAGGTAGAGTGGTGGCCCCGTGATCGGAAGGTCGGGGGTTCGA